CCCCATACTAATTATCAAAAACCAAAAACAAAAACAGCAACAAGAAAACCCAAAATAAACAAAAAACTCACCTCTTTTTGCTGACACCTGAACATAAGAAACGGCTTGTATCTGGAATCTTATGTAAAGACGTGACTCTAGTATAAAAGTGTCTTAAAAATAATGTATCTATTCTGATAAATGGCTGTAAGTGAAAATATCAAAAACAAAAAAATTCTTGGGGGCAGGGTATAGCTCAAGTGGTAGAGCATGTGCTTAGCATGCACAAGGTCCTGGGTTCAATCTCCAGTATCTCCGTTAAAAATAATATATAAATAAGTAAATAAACAAATAAACACATAGATGTTAAAAATTCTTTACTATCTGTTGCTGCTCCCTATTCTCCATTCTGCTTTCTTGACACGCTAAAATTAAAGCCATCCAAATGTTTTAATGAATTATACCTTCCTTTGAAAGTCAGTGACCACCATATCCTGCTCCGGGCTAAGGGCAGGAGGCGGCTCTGGGTTCTCAGTTAAAGTAGCATCTCTTTTCATTTGCTTGGGACACACCAGAAGCAAAGCATGGACTTAAGGTTCCTATTCACAGAGCAAAGGAATCTTATTAAAAGGAAGGAAGGCTTAAATTAAATACATTATTTAAAAAAATAAAGAATAAAATAAAAATCACAACATTTGATGAAGCATTAGGTCAAGAGATCACTCAGAATGTCTGCTCCTTCAGACTGACTACTTACCAGCAACATTCCTACTTCAGGGTTCCTAGATGCAAATAAAATTCAATCTTACATCATGTACTTTTAAAAAATACTACCTAATGAATTAATTTATAAAAGCAGTGCGAATGTGTGTATAGAACACACGTATAATTTCAAATTACCTTAATCGTTTTGTCCATATCTCCATAGCACAGGGAGTTAAGAGAGATCTTAAAAGGCCTCCAAACAGGATTCAAGTTGTTTTTAATAACCTGTGAAAATGAGGATTCAAAGACCAGTCAGAAAAGCATTCCATTCATCAAACGCTTTGCTCTTGCCTTTCCTAGATTCCTGCCACACTCTCACCATCAGTCCTTCATCTCTTCATTCACCCAACTGTGTCCATGAAAAACTAGCTAGGACAATATTATCCACCTGTTACGCAAAAAATGCAATAGACTGTCTAGTTGTGATACATTCTGAGGAAAGGAAACAACTGAGAAATACGTGCACCCATTACAAAGCGCACTTAGAAATGATAGAAGATTACTGATTTTGTTGGAAACCAGAGTTTTCATTATAGGACACAGAAGATTCAAATACGTGATAAGAAAGGATGAGAAAGAATCTTGCTATGCTGGATTTCAATGGAAAAAATAGCCTAAAATTGTGATTTAAAATTTTTTTAAATGTGTACATAATAAACATATATACACAAATATGCACATTCCTCAGTTGTGAATGTATATGTGTGTGAGAGAGATCATGTGTGCAGGTAAGACTACATGGTGAATCTAGGAGAAAGATACACTGGTATACAGTTTACTGTTCTTCATAGGGGTTTTTTAGAGGCGGAGAGGGGAGGTAATTAGGTATTTACTTATTTATTCATTTTTAATGGTGGTGCTGGGGATTGAACCCAGGACCTTGTGCATGCTAGGCACACACTCTACCACTGAGCTATACCCTCCTCCCCTACAGGGTTTTAAAAATTAAGCATAGTAGCATCTCCTCATTAAAATTTAAAAAACTGACTATGTTGACCTTGTGTTTCTAGCAATTATATATGTCTGAACTCAGACTGATATTTTCATAAACACATAATTTTTTAAAATTCAGAAAACTGCAATCCCAAAGGAAACTTCAACCCTACTTTTCAAATTCAGATACTCACCTCCGTTCGATGAACCATTAGCCAGTTTCCATCAGATGTCTGCTTGTGGAATTCCAAGTATGGATCTGATTTTCCAAATAGATCCTACATTAAAAAAAAAAAGTAATTATCTTCCTCTAAACCATGTGAAATCAGACTTAATACATGCTACATTTTAGCAGTACCTGAAGCCTAATTCCACAACACGGACACATACAGTACAAAACAGCAGTAAACACAAATCCCATCATGTTCCTCACAAACCACGTGGTCACGCCGCAGAGCAAGGAAGCTATTCAGAGACCTCTGGGGTCGGGCCAAATGGTCTCAGGAACTGGCATGCAGAGGTTCCCTCCCACAGGCCAGAGCTGGGATACTCTGAGCATCAATTAACCGACAGAGTTCATAACAATACTAAAAAATGAAAAACACAAAAAACCCACATTGGTCACATTTAGAGGGATTCGAATTCTGAAAAATGGTAAATATAAGAAAAAAAACCAAACATTTTAACTTGCCTTTTCTGGATCAACTGTAGCTCAGAATAAATAAATACCTAATGTGGAGAAGAATACTTCTCTCTACAGAAGGATTCTCACTAATAAACGAAGAAGCAATGGCAGCATGAGAATATCACTTTTTTACAGACCCCTTAACAAAATAATGTGTCTAGGTAGTTATCATCGGGCTCATTAATACTCCAAAAACACAGAACTTGACAATGTGAGCCTCCTGTTGGAATGAATGCCACCACCTATGGAACTGTCACACCAAAAGTTCAAAATACCATCAGATCGTATGTCTAGATTCAATTCCAGCTTACAGAACTCATGAAATGAAGGTGGAGAGAGGAGCATGTGAAATGATACCACAGGATTTCATCAGTTTATAAAGAGTGCAGAGCCTTCTACAGGACAAAGGAGTCAGTTTCTTTATTGAATAAATTCCATGGATGGACAGATAGGAAGGAGGGAGAGAGAGAGAGGGAACAAGAGAGGAAGGGAGGAAAGAAATAAAAGGAAGGGGGGAATTTATAGACTGAAAAAAATTAACAACATATGAACCAATTATAATTTTTAAAGAGTCTTTAGGGATACACCAAAATATTTATGGGTGAAATAATAAGATGTCTCGGAGGAGAGAAAGCAGATAAGAGTAGAGATGAGACAAAATTGGTCATGAGTTAAAATTGTTGAAGACAGGTGATGGGGACATGGAATTTTTTAAAATACTATTCTATTTTTGTATATGTTTCAATTTTTCAAAAAATAAAAAAAAGAAACTTGCTACTAGTCTAAGATATTTGCAAACTGAATTGTAAGGTAAATGTAAATGATAAAGAATATTGATTGGATTATAGAAATATATACAAAAATCACTCAAAGAATTATTAATCCATGCTATACAAAAATTTGTGGTGTATTATGCATTGTACTCACCCTTCAAAAAAGATTAACTTTTGGACGCAAAAGGGAAAATCTGTAATTAATAAAGCATGGAATTTTTGCTTTTTTCCTTAAGGTAATACGACTACACTCTCAAATGTCTCTTACAATAACATTAATGCTTGTATTAACTCCTCTTTTAAGCTATACAAACCCTTTGATTACATCTAGAGGAAGGAGATAAAGAGAAATGGATTCTGCTTAAACACACATACACCCTCACACACTCAAAGTAGAATCTGGAAGTAAACACACTCCCTAGTGATGCTTAGATGACAGAGGTCATGTCATAATATCAACTGCATTATTATTTTCTCAAAAAGGAATCACTGTGAGGCAAAACACGATACCCTTGTTGCAATCTGCATCACCTACCCACCTTATTATCCAGTTTTCTTGCTTCCATTTCAAACAAGACTACTCTGTTATCCTTTATTTCTTCAGCTGAAATCTATGAGTAGACAGGGTAAGTGAAAAAATACGTATATATATTTTGAGATTCTGATACATTCAGGAAGTACTGAGTTATTCTGTTATCTAATAGTATATAAAGTCTATACTAATGTAAACAAATTCTAAAATGCTTAATAACAAAATAGTACCATTAAGAGTTATCATGATTTCTTTTATGTATGGAAAATAGATACTTTCTGAGAACATGCCAAATCTACATTATGCAACTTCCTTTTTAAATGTTGTTGCCCAAACTGGCTCGTCCCTATTCCAGTATAAAAATCAAAGCCCCTTAAGACTGTACAACACTAGTGAGAACTCTCCAAATATAGAGAAGCATGAGGAACTCATACCTAGTGAACACTGTAAATTCAAACTATCAGATCAGTATTTCCATCCAAGGTAACGAAAGACTTGTTTCACTTAAAAACAAATTCTAAGCCAACCATGGCCCAAAGGCAGTAAAGCTAATGACTGAGAATGTTCTCGGGCCCACACACAGATGTCACCGTCTCACCGGACTGAATATTCTTATGCCTCAGGAATTTGAACTAGAGCAAAAGAGCTGCTCAGAGAACTGTGTTTGATGATCATAGTCATCCTCAAACATGGCTCGCTCAGGGCGCCAGCCTTCCATCCTCAGGCAGACCTACAGTTAGACAGCTATCACTGTAGGCAGTGATTACCTGGACAGAAACTCTAGAAGAAACAATATTTAAAAGCACGGCATTATATAACTGAAACCTAAAATAGGCCAATGCATATATATTCATTTGCCCAGGGCCAGTACTCAATAATGGAAAACCTAGGTGGGAGGATGGCCAGCAAAGTGCAAGCACCCAAAAAAAAAAATTGTTATGAGTTGAGAGGTTCAATGGCCAGGTCATAATACAAGATCATTCTGGAATAAAATCCATTACGGAAAATTTCTGTCGTGCTGAGGGGACCGCGTTTGACTTGTAGAGGTCCAAACTGATCCATTCAGACTATTACGCAGTTTCTTTCTATCTTGCGAAGTGATGCTTCCATGGGGGAAAGAGTTGGGGCAGGCGAGCATCGCCAAAGTGCTCCTGACTCCATGGGCAAATTAAAAAACCTCAAAGAAGGGATTCTCATACTGCATTTTTCTTTCTTTTCGGCACAACACAGTTCCCGTTGGTGATCACTATAGGGCAAGGGTGGATGGAGGGCAACATTCAGGATCAAGTGATAGAGCAAGACTGCTGAGTATCTTCTCACAGGTACAGTGTCTGCATGTCCTATTACACTAAACCGTTGGAGGCAAATGACAAGTATCTTATCCTCACCGTGATGCTTCCTCTCCCTGCAGGTCTGCCATTTTTAAGCACCAGTGGTCGAGTTAGCTTCTTACTGGAAACAATCTGTTAAAATTCAAAAGTGAGACAAAGAGCGATTTCACTTCAACAGGTGAACATTTAAATTGAATGGTTTCAAAAAAGAGTTGAGTATAAAGTTCACTTGACAGTCATTAGAAATGGAAACATTAAATTCACTCCTTAAAGATTTACAAATTATAGGGGGGTGGGAATAGCTCAGTGGTAGAGTGCACGCTTAGCATGCACGAGGTCCCGGGCTCAATCCCCAGTACCTCCATTAAAAAATTAAGGAAAAACAAAGTTTAAGGGAAAAAAAAAGATTTAGAGATTATAAAACGCATCTACATGTTTAAAACCCACTGGAGAAGATTTCCAAGGAGCCAGTCCTGGCAGATATAGTCTCCCCATCCCTGGTTGTTTTGTCAACTACTTCAAAGTTTAACTTCTTCCTTGTAATGAAAAAAGAGGATCAGGTTCTCATCACACACAAATCACAGAGCTGAAACTCCTGTAGCTTAAAGGTGGACCTGAGAATACTCAGTAAATAGGGTTCAATTCGTCAACTGACACATAACTTTTATAACCCCCACAAAATATCACTTTGATTAAAATAATGTAGTAGACCTAGGTACTCTAAAGCAGATGTATTTCTCAAATTCTTTATAATTTTAGATACATTGTAATTTTTTTCCCAAAAAATAAATACTTTTTAAATTTTCTCTCTGATACTATTTACCAAAGTTTGAGAAAACTGATCAGCTCTATGTTGTCCTTGAGACATCGGAAATACCATGAGCTCCAAGAACTTCAACACTGAAAAACAAACTCATAAAAGGCAAATCTGGGGGGAAAAAATGTTACCCATGGGAAAAAAAAAGCCTCCTGAAACCTTCCCCATTCTATTACAAATGGTCCTGATTTCTCCTTAGAAGTCAAACTCTGAGCTAGGAGCACAATGTTGGGCCCACAGACACAGCCCTGCTCTGACCCAACCTGTCATATACTGGAAAGGCAGATAATTTAGCAACTACAGCAAGATACGGTGAGTGTCGAGGCAGAAGCGAAGGAGGGATCAAGCGAGCACAAGGATGAGATCCAAACTACTCCAGGGCATCAGGGAAGGCTTGCTCGGGCCAGTCAGGTCCACGCCGAGGGCTAGCGGGGGAGCAAGCTAGGTAAAGGAATGCTGTTGGCACTTAGCGGGTCAAGAGGCACCAGTCATGCTAGTTAGAACGTCAGAAAAGTCGCTGTGACTTTGACAGCAATTATGACTTCAACATAAGAACAACACTGTACTGAAACCTGTAAACAGCAGACAAAGCCTAGAGCAATGGTATTATTTACTGAAATGATGAATGAAATACCCTTAACGGGAAAGAATTAATAGACTTTGCCAAAAACACGTTCCCTACCCTTATAAAAAGTAAGATAAATTCTACACGGTTCAAGGCAACCATACTAACATGTGATTTAAAGTGATTCCATGCTTTTCAACTTAAAAAATTAAACCAATGGGCACTTATTGAAGACACCCAATTCTTTGGTTCAAATTTAGACAAAACATAGGACAGCTGCCAGTTAAACTCACCTGTCCAAGGGTGCATTCACATTCTCCTAAGAAGTCATCATCGCTCAGCTCGATGGTTTTGTTGTCGATGTCATAAATTCCAAATTTCAACTTCTGAACCACTTCAAAGTAGTAATCAATAATAAACGTCTTGGAAAATTTGGGATTCAAGCAATTCTTAATCCTTTCTGTGCGGTCAACCTATACCCACCGCCCCAAAACAAAAAGTTTTTTCGGATCAAAAGTGCACTTAGATTTCAACAACTTTATGTAACACATGTAACTAAATACAGGCAAGAAAGCTAAAGGAAGTGTCTACATGTATATGAAAAACTCCACAAATTGAGGACAAACTTGCCCCCAGAACTGCATTAACAGATGAGATGGTTTTATTATTTTTAATATCTTTAATAAACTCTTCATCTTGTCAACAGAGCAATTCAGATTGCTTTTCACCTTCAAGTATTTAATATTACCTCATACCACTGTTGACCACTTGTATTCAAAAACAGCACGCATAGAGGGTCGGACTTTGATCCTATGTCTGCATCCAAAAGATTGTCACAGGAAATATTCAGCTCCACCTTTGTAACACACTGGGCAGCCATCTCTTGAGCTGTAAGAAGACCAAGGAGATGAGAGCCAGTGAACTGGTGCCTTTAAGAAGCCCAGGAATTCCTAATGAAACATCTGAACTCTTAAGACAAGCGGTCAGACCAGGATCACAGAAGGAACCTGCTAGAATAAGATTTTGTTATTAGGTGTCTCCTGGTGATTCAGAGGTCCATGAGCCCAACCCAGTGATGTGGCTTCAGCCAGGTTCTCTGGCCGGGATAAAACTCATTTACTTATGTGACAATAAAATGCAGCTTTTAAGATGGGAAATAAGACATACTCATCTTCTTCTCACTTTACTATAAATTCTACCGTTCAAGTAGAATTTTACTTTTCACTTAAAGGTAAATGTAGCATTCAGCTACAAAACAAAACAGATTAAACCACAACCTTAATTTTATGGATGTTCATTTGACAAGATATTGAGTGAGCTATTTGCTATCTGCACGGAATTTTGGCTAAAACCCAAACCCGGGGAATGAAAGATCCCAAACACCCCCTTCTCTCCTCACCCCATCCCCCCACATTATAGAGCAGTGGTTCTCAATCTTGGCTGCTAAGCATGAGCTCTACCACTGAGCTCTACCCCCACACCCCTTTAAGGCAGCACATTAGATTGTAAATAACGTTAGGCTAAGGAAGCATTTTCTCCTTGCTAGAGAGCCCTGCGCGCGTGCGTGCACGCTCTCGGAAAAACTCACAGTAAAGAAAATTACACTGAGCTTGTCTGGTATTCAGAGACAGCAACGTCCACATTTTTAATCCCTGCCATGGGATGCTAGAAGCAGGGATAGGGAATTGGTCAAGCACAAAAGCACAAAAACAAAAACAAACAAGCAAAAACAGAGAAAGGGGCATGCTTGCTTTCCAATGTGCAAAAGGGACAAACAGGAAGGGTCACTGGCTCAGGAGTCAGAAACCCTGGACTGCAGCTCTGTGTCAGTCACACCACAAGGGCTGCAGCTTCTCAGTTTCTCCAGGAGTGCAATCACTTTAACTCCTAAAGCTTCTTCCAGGTAATGTTTTGTGACTAACTTAATTACAGTGAATATGGAACTTGTTTAGAAACTGGTACTAAAGGAGTAGGAGAAAAAAAAAGTAAGGTCAGGCAGAAGATTTATAAGAACCAAAAAGAGAAATGAAAGGAAAAGGATAAAGGTTTCCAAAGCCAGCCTCCATCTCCCATTATCGAAAAGCTGTATCTGAAAAAACATACATTTATAATACTTCCCACTTAAGGAGCTACCTTTGCTTCAAGTTGTCACTCAATTCCCCGTCCCCAGATGACTTGAAAAAATAATTCACATCAGCAAACAAAACACGGGGCCCAGTCTCTTGGATCCAAGCAGCATAATAAGGAAGTGAGTTTTACTACCAACTGGGGACTCTCACACTATTAAACTCTCAGCTCACAGCAGGGCAGCAAAGGGAATCAGCTTTTGGGTGCATTTTTTTTTTAAATGAATTTCCAGAATTCTTCAATTATCCTGAGTAATATCTAAATAGTGATATGATTGCTGACACCTGAACATACAGAATCATGGACAGCAGGAGGTAATAGTAAAGTGTTGACATTTGGTCACTCCTACCTTATTTTTTCTTTGTGTGTGTAGAGGGGAGAGTAATTACATTTTTATTTATTTATTTAATGGTGGTACTTGAACCCAGGACCTCCCGCATGCTAGGCATGGACTCTACCACTGAGCTATACCCTCCCCACCAGTCATTCTTACTTTAAACACAAGAAGTATGTGCATTTCACCCTGTCATTGCTACAAACTGAGCAATCCACCAGAGCTCCTTTCTCGATTTCTCAAGAAGATTCCTAAGATATTTGGCCCTGCTCTGAGTCACAGCAGGATACAGAGATAAGTTTAACTTGTTTCAGGTTCCGCTGCCTTACTGTACAGTAAATACAGTAATAGTACTATTAAACTGTATTTCAGTAAACACTGTATCCCTTGGCTACTGTATACACATTTAAGAAATGGCACTGGTTGTATTTTCAAGCCTATCAAATGAACAGTTCATCGTAGGTGCACCAAAGTGAGGTGTTAATAGAAGTCAGCAGCAGAGACAGCTCAGGATTGCCTCACCTATGGAAACAGGCATCTTGGCAAAGTGAGCCACAACGTGTACACCTCACCTACTAAGTGAACCATCTTTTACCAAAAACTACCTTGATAAAAGACAGAACCGGATCCCCCAGCAGAAAATTCCAGAATGCTCAATTGAAATTTTTTTTGAATTATAAAGACACAGTGAAGCTGCCGACCAGCTGTGCAGCAGGCAGCTGGATATTTTATTAAGGCTGAGACTGAAGGTTTGGGGTCTCACTCCCCTCAGAGCATTTTTAAGAACTTCCCACTTTCTGCAACTTCCCAGATGCTGGACCAGCAATCAGAACATATCACCTGCCCCAATTATCCAACTCTGCCCAGCTCTGAAAGCACACTTTCTAAAACTTGGCTTCCTTCCTTGTCTTCGTGGCTGGGCACATCCCCGTGCTATCTAACTGGGCAAGACCAGTGTTTCACATTTTAACACTATATGCTCCTCTCTAGTTCATGGTCAAGGATGATAGGAAAATTCTTTCCACTTAAAGCAGCAACAACTACAACTACTTCGTCCTCAAGGTTTAAAAGTTCGTATGTTGGGAAAGGCCTGTTGAGATGTTTATACATTTCCTGATTTCACATACATTTCAGTTGTTTCTAACTTTCTGGCAAACTGCTTCATATTTCCCAATCACGAAGAGTTCAATAGTTCTATTCATTTACTCAACACTCATTCAATAAACGTTTATAAAACACCTACTGTGTGTCAGACACAATTCTAAGGGGTTGGGAGACAAGGATGAACAAAACAAACACCTGAGACAGACAATAAAAAAAGATAAATAAGTAAAAATAAACGGTATGCTAAGTGGTGGTCAACTGCTAAGGAGACACAAGAAATCCTGAAGGTGGGGTGCAACTTTAAATATTTCATAAACTTATCTTGACAACACCATTGAGAAATACTTGTGTTGATTTTCCATTCTTTTAAAAAAATCCTGACCCCTAAGCAGATTGTACATTGGTTTTTTTTCTCATTAAACGCTTCTAGAGAAGACAAAAGCTTAAACTTGTGGTTTGGACAAGTCAAACTGTGTCTAACAAGCAGTGTGACCTGAAGCCATGCTATAAAGACCCTGCGGGGACAGACATGACTTGGAAAGCTGGTCGGTTGGGTTAGCTTCTGGCATGGACAGTGATGACTTGCGGCATGTTCTTTCCCTGGACTGTGAAGGCAGTCTCTAAAGAAACTCTTTGCCCTTACGAGGTAATTTTCATATTTGCTTTCTGTTGAAATAACTGAAAAAGTTAAATCTCACAGCTGTTTACGTCTTATATAGAGAGTGTCATATGTACTCAAGTTGTGTATTTTTATAAAGTCAAATACCAAGAGAAGGGGGGCAGGGGAGACAAGTTGCTCCTTACAGTTGCGGATCCCTATTTTAACATCATCTTAGGGTCTAGACGCAGGGTAAACTCAATGCTCAGAATACTGAAGTAGCCTGATGACAATGCATATTGCAACCACACTGTTGCTTTGGTAATTTTCACCGGAACCAGACATAATACATCCACTTGGTAAGAGGACATTTCAAAATTATTTGCTAAAACAAATATGTAATTATTTCCTTCTATTTTTCATGGGGAAATTGTGTTAGTATGCTATCTATCTCATTTATATTGATAAATTTGACCACTGTATTGACTTTCAGGTCTTTTTAAAAATTAGGATTGCATACTCAAAAGCTGTTGTATATTAAAAGAATAAACTGTCTCTCCAAAAGAATCCCAATACCCTCCCCCTCAGCTTTCTCAAATATATTTAAACCAGCATAATTGACTTAAACATAGCTATTAGAATCTTGTCAAAATGCATACATAGTGATGATAACTTTGTAATGTAATGTATAGAAATATCAAACCTGGAACTAACAGAGTCAATTATAACTAACATAGGTCAATTATACTTCCATTAAATAAATAAATACAAATG